GAGAAAGGCCCTGTCCCCACTTTCTGATCACATTCACGGGGCCAGGCCCTGGGAGCACAGGTGCCCTGTCTCCTCATTTCCTCTTTCCCTGAGGATAGTTCTGGACGAATCACTTCACAGCCACCTCTGGCCAGAACAGGTTAGGTCTCTGCTTCCCTGGCCCTGAGGACCTTGCCGGCCAGGAGGCCCTGAGCCACGGGGAGCCGGCAGCACGTGGCCTGGCACACGCCTCTGTGACTCAGCTCCCAGAATCTGGGCCCTTGGGGCTGCAAAGGTGAGCACCTGCAGTTTGGTTTTTCTGAGAGGTTTTAATGGTGACAAGATTTTAGAAAGGCTAGTTTGTTATTTCATGAATCCTTGTAAGCCACCTGCACTCCCTCCTGAAGCAGATGGGAGGAAACAAACAGAACAAACCACAATGGAACCGCCCCCGGAGCAGACTTAGACTTCTAAGAAATGATAACAGCGGTGACCCCGGAGAAAGTCAAAGATTTCTTTTCACTTCTATTGTGTTAGAGGGGGAAGTGAGGATCTTTTTTCGATTTAGTTAAAAACAAAACACCACCAAAACCCCCAAACAAATAAAAATGATCAACAACAAAAAACCCCAAACTAAAAAACACTTCAAATTATCCGTAATTCCCAACGTGGAGAAGAATTTAATAAAAACCTCGGTAAGCAAAATTAAAAAGAAAATTCTTAGCATATTTGGGGAAAAAACCATAGGTTTTTGGTTTGTTTGTTTACACTCACTAGACCCTTCCCTTAACTGAGAGCCAGGTTTGTGGAGAATGTGACTTAATTCTAGTTTGCAGGAACCTACCGTCTTCCCCTTTACCCATTCGGTGGCTAGCGAGCTGGAGGCAATCGCAGAACCACAGCCAAATGTTTTAAACCTGGCGTCCACGATCTTCCCCTTTTCATCCACTTGAATCTAGAAAAGAGGCAGGAGTTAGCAGAAGTTCTGGTGTGCCCCATAGAACCTGGTGCTCATGGAGGCCCACGGGGTGCTCCCTGACAGCTTTGGTCCTGCTTTCCGCACTTAAAAGTTTGGGCACTAATTACTGAGTTTCTTCTATTCCAAAGAGCTCAATGATGAGAAGATAAAAGCAGGAACAACTATACAGAATTATACAGGCCTAGCTAGTAAAGATCAACCAAAAAATATGCGTCTTGCCGCCCCCAACCCTAGCCTGATTTTTGGCTATGAGGTTCTCTTCCCAGCTGCTGGGTCAATGTGCGTCTTTAAACACTGGGAGAGTCTGCAATAAAGGTCTCTGGATAATGCTTTTTCCTTTGGCGCCAGACTGCATGTAGTAGTTCCCTCCTGCCTTGTTTCTGTTTTCCAAGATAGTCATGAAGCTGTCTGGCGAGCTGCCCACCACGGTGACGAAGGAGATGTGGAGAAAGCTATGGTTCACCCAGAGTGCCAGGCACTACCTGCATGTCATCTCCAACGTGGGGGAGGTTTGATTTATTGCGTTTCCTGTCTCTTTGGGGATTGCTAACTGAACAGTTGTGGTTTTCCTTTGACTGGTAAAATTCACAAAAGATTTCACTTAGCTATGTTGGAATTTAGGCTGGTACAGTGAGCACAAAGGTGAGATCAGTTCACTATGTCAGAAAGGGTCAGTGTAGTTTACCAGTATGACTAGCATTCAGCCCCTGCTCGAGTCATTTATAACACTGACTTGTCCCATCTCACAGGAATTGAGATGGGGACCAGATGCAATGCTGTACACGTAAATGCTCTGTCAACTACGGAGCACTGTACAAGCAAAGGGGTCACTGTTACCACCAGTAAAGATGGGAACCAAGGGTACCTGTAATTTCATGACATCACCACACGCTGGAGCTCCCACCAGTCCGGTTCCAACATTTTTAGATGTCTTATCGAGGGACCCCACGTTTCGGGGATTTTCATAATGATCAACAACCTGAAACGAGAGGGTGAACAGAAATCACAGTCACTCTTTTTTGCTGTTGGTCTCCCCGACTTTGATGGCAAGGTCCTTGAAGTCAGCAAGCTGAACCTGGCAGGCCATCACTAAATACCAAATTTCACCTGGGAATGAATTCAGAGATTCCAGATAGTGGCGAAAAGTCAGCAAAATCCTGTCTTAATTCCGCAGGGTTTTGAACCACAAATAATTACTTGACCTTTAACCACCCAAGTCACCAGAGTCGGGCTCAAACAGCATTTTTGTAATTTCCAAAGAAAATCCGTTCTCAAAGTATAATGATTACTATTCGAAAATCCTAAAAGTAAGTATGGTCCAGAAATGGAAGGGTTTCACAGAAGCCTCAGGAGACTGTTACAGGAGGAACAAGGCTATGGAATACGTCCCTTTGTGTGCGAAAATAAATAATAAATATCTCATTACTGTATTTCAGGGCCCTGAAATCTCTCTGGTGCAGCAGCGCGCCCTGGTGGTGGAAAGGCTCGTGTCAACAATACACATCCTTGGGTCGGGGAGGAGTGAAGTCTGTGGGGAAACGCGCGGAAGCCAGAACAGAATAAACATCTATTCAAACTGGCACACGGAAGGCTTTAAAAACCTTGAGGTTTGTTTACCAGTTAGCAGTAAGTATCCCGATCTTTCCAGTCCCCTCCCCCACCTCCACCCCAGCTATCCAACCACGGATTTTGACTCCAAGCCCAAGGACCTACAAGATAATGTCCAATCTGGACTTTCTGCCCCGGGTTGATTCACCGCATTCTTTAGTCAACCGGTTCCCGAGTGAGAGAGTCTCATGTTTAGGGACTTTCCACCCCCGGAAGGTAAAGGCTGCAAACTATGCACCTATCTCTACTCACAGCTCACCACCACTCCAAACAGAAAACAAAAATTAAAACGTTATGACTGTTCGTTACATGTCCGTCTCCACTCGGAGGCTCTCAGCTCCTGCAACAGTAACATCACCCTAAGTGGCCTCCCTGTGCCAGACACCCTGCCGAGGACTCCGCAGGCATGGTCTCGAGTACGGGGGGCTGCTAAGACCCCATTTGACAAGTGGGGAAACAGGTTCAGCGCAGCGCACTGACTTGCCCAAGGTCACCTGGCCAGGGCGGTGGCCTTGGCTGAAGCCGGACCCCGCGCCGCTGTGTGTCGGGCTGGCAAGTCATTGCAGGACCCTGCTTCCTGGGCTGTTGGGGGTTTAAAGGCTGGATGCACGAGATCGCGGCCAGAGGCCGGGCCCACGGGCAGTGGCCACTAGATGAGCAGGAGCTGTCATTTTTATTTCAGGCGCGGTTAGTGCCCCTGCGCAGGGAGGGAAAGTTAGTCCAGGCGGATTCGCGCGAGGGGCGGCCTCTCCGTTGGGGCCCGGGGCGGCCCGTACCCTGGGTCGCAGTGGGGCCTCCCGGGCCCCGCAGTTCCCAGGCCCCGCAGTCTTTCCTAGGCCGGACCTCCGCTAGGATGCCCGCACTCTCGGTTGTCCTCGCACTCCCGCCCCCGCCCGCTCCTACCTTCTTGTGATAGAGCCGAGCCGGAGCTGACAGCTCCCGGACCGGCAGACGCGGGGCCCGGAGTAGCAGTGCCGAAGTCGCCCGCCTCATACGTCCTGCTCCAGCCGCCGCCATCTTGCGGGCTTGCGCCTGCGCAGGCCGAGTGCGAGACTGAGGCGCGTGCGTGAGCCGGCTCCTAGCTTGGAGCGCGCTCACTCTAACGTCCCGGCGACTTCGCGCCCGAGCCCTCCCGCTCCGTGCACGTGTACGCGCTTTGGTCCCGCCTTGACCACGCCCCTCCGGGGCGGGCGGGGCGCGGAGCCCAAAGCTCTGGAGTCGCAGGAGGGTTTGTCCTCCGTGATGGGTTCTGGATCTGAGGGGCTTCGGGCTGGAGTTCGGGACCCAAGTTTGCGTTCACAAAGTCCACCGCCGGAATGCGCAGAGGATCAACCAGTCCACCTTTCTTAGCCCTGTTTTGCAGCTTAGGAAGTTGAGGATCAGAGCGGTGTAGTAGCTTGTCCTAGGTTGTCCAGAGAGTTAGACTCAGTTGGGATTCGAACTTGAACAATCCTGAGTTGGAATCCCGTTTCTGCTCCTAACTGGCTGTGTGATCCTAGGTGAATGACAGCGTCTTTCTAAACCTCGATCTTCCCTTTTGTACTAATTCAAGGACAGTTCTTTCATCCATTGAGCAAATGTGTTGAGTATCTATTTTGTCAGGGTGCTTTGGGAATCCAACGGAAAGAAAAACATAATTTCTGACATAATTAAGCTTGCTAATGAGGGAGAAAGGCAATAAATAGACACACCAAGGCTTTCCTACGTCAAAATGGAAAGCTTAGCTAAACGAATACTTTGCCCTGATTTTAAAAAGTGTGTATGTTTGACTCTATTTCTCTCTCTATAAAAAAGCAAACTGTCACAATTTATATGACAAGGCATGGCAATGAAGAGATTCTAAGTAAATGTTTACTAATGTAGTTTATTAATATTGGTTTGCAGAATATGATCCTATAAAACCAGAAAACACACATGTGTATTTAACTGCTAGGCACCAGGCATTACATAAAGGAGAGGAGTCTCTTTGGGAAGTGAGTTTTTCTCATGAATGGTGCAATCGATCCTTCCCCGAGGACTTAGACTTTCCTCTGCATTTGAGGCTCAGTTACTGGGGAGACTGAACCACGCGCCAGGTCAGAATAGGCGGTAAGGCATTAATTCCAAGAATCATTTTGACCTTCTCAAGATGGCGGCAAACCCTTAATGTCAATCTTCACGCTCACTCCATGACTTCCTCTATGGCTTCCACTTCCTGTCTAAGGACCCAACTTCTGTCCGAAGTTGTGGCGAAACACATGCCCTGTTAGTGAGTTCTTTTTCCTCCGACAAGAACTATTAAAAGTATATAAAATAGCATGAGTTTCGTGTATTTCGAGGTTTCGCCGTCATCCGTGGCTCACAGTTTCTCTCTAGGTGGCAGGAGAGCGCGGTTTTGATCAGGCGCGCGCCGCGGGCAGCTTCTACTTCAGTGGGTCTTCGGCGGCAGAGTGAGGACCCAGGAGTCACTAGAAGCGCAAGATGGCGACGGCGGCCGCAGCGTCGGCTTCGGAAGCGGAGGCTGAGCCCAAGGCCGGGCCCAAGGCCGAGGGGGAGGAGGCTGAAGCTAAGGAGGCTAGGACGAGGAGGAAAGTGTTATCGCGGGCCGTGGCCGCCGCGACGTACAAGACCGTGGGGCCGGAGTGGGACCAGCAGGAGGAAGGCGTGAGTGAGAGCGATGGAGATGAGGAGTACGCCATGGCTTCCTCGGCCGAGAGCTCCCCGGGGGAGTACGAGTGGGAGTACGACGAAGAGGAGAAGAACCAGCTGGAGATCGAGCGGCTGGAGGAGCAGGTGAGCGCGGGGGTGGGCGGCGGGCTCCTTCCCTCAGGTTCCCAGGCCCCGGCCCGCCTCCCTTGTCCTCGGCGGTAATAAAGCCGCCAAGGCTGCCAAAGTGCAATTCATCAGCGCGTCTCCCGTCCTTCGAGCGCTTACTGCTCGCCAGGTGATTTGCAACCGTTATCCCGTTGAACCCTCGCATAGAACCCGCTGAAGGAAGGAGTGTATTTCCCGTTTTATGGGAGGAAACTGAGGCTCTTGGTGGAGGGAATTCTCTTGCTCTTTCAAGATTACAATTCCTGCAAATGGCGAGACAGGCTTTGAACTTTGAAACGACTCCAGAACTCCCGCTTTTAGCCACACCATTCAGCTGTCTAGCACGAGAAATAAAATTTTATTTCTAAAAGAGAGTTATTTGCCTGTAGGAGTGACGACGATGATGAACTATGGCGTGGTCGGGAAAATATTGACCGTGACGGTGATAATAGAAATGGAAAGGGAGCGATTACAGCGTCTGGAGCCTAAGGCCCCAGTTCTGGCTCTTCCACCCTTGCGTGCGCTTGGGCGAATTTCTTAATCTCTCTCAGCCTCGGTTTCCTCATTTGTAAATTGGGAGAAACGATTTCCGCACATAGGTTTGTTATAATGGTAATTAAAGCCCGGGGCCTGGCACTAGTAGCTACGTGATTTCTAATCTGTAACCTTATGAGATACAGGTGGTGGTATCTCGTGTGGAATCTAGGATTCCAGCAGGAAGTAGGTGGCACACTCAAATTAGGAAAGTTTGAGAAAACGTCAGTAAAGGGACTACTGTGTTTAGGGCAGGGAAATCAGGAGTAAAGCAGGTTCGGTACCCCAGGGCTAGTAGTAGCAGGACCTTTTAGGTGTCCACCTTTAGGCCTGAAGAGGTGATGGGAGGGACTGGTTTTCCAAGTAGTTGTGTGGAGACAACACCTGAGAGGAGGTGAGACGTTTGTTCCAGGGGTGCGGCCCCAGTTTCCCATCAGGTATTGGGGTGGGGAGGAAGTACCCTGACCTACCGCTCTGCCTCTCTCCAAACAGTCTGCTGGTGCCGTCTGCTGGAAGCAAGACAGCCAGAGACCTCATCAGTGTGGTCCACACAGTGGGTCACAGGACGGGGAAGAGAGAGGGTGGAGTGGATTTGGAGGGGCAAACAGATGGAGCACATTCTCATTTTACAGATGAGGAAACTGAGGCATAGAAGGAATAATGAAATGATTTGCTTAGTCACTCGTAAGGGGTTTTGAATTTTTCAGGGTTGTCAGTGGACTGAATGCCACACTGGCTATGAAATTACTTAGTGATGTGAGGTTGTTAGCCTGGGTTTCTCACTTTGCTGGGTGTGAGATTCCTTATAACGTCCTCTCTCGAGGTGATGTTTTTGTTAAGTTGTGAAACAGTTATATTATCTCTTGGTATACCTGTCTCACTTGTCATCGCATCTGAATCAGCTAGGGGTAGGCAGGTGGTTACCATTTCTGCTTTTTATAAATAAGCACGCCAAAGTCCATTCAGTCTTTTATTCGTTCAGCAGTGTAATACGAGGTGCCAGGCGGACTGTGTCCCTGTCCTGGTGGAAATCTGTTCTTCTGGCCCTGGGCCTTTCAGTGAGCCATTAGCTTACTCGGTAGGGGAAAGAGGATTACCTTTTTAGGGGAAGGGGAGGCTTGGAAGCAGAGCGATTAAGTCCTTGATGAGGTGAGGGTACCCAGCTTACTAGAGAGGAGGGTGGGTCAGGGCAGAGGCCACCGGCCTACTGGTATTTTGCAGTTGCCAGCCCTGCCTCAGGCCACCAAAGGTGACCACACAGGATGGGATCTGGCAGGTGATGGTGAATTGAAGAGCCTCTGGCTTTATCCTCTTTTCCGGGGCGTCTAGAAATGGACTTTTCCAATTTTTCCAGAACTCCCTCCCACCTCCTCCTAATCCCACAGCCTCTAGTTCCTGCTGTAACGACTCTCCTGGTGGAGCATGATGGTCGGTAACTTCCAGAGAGGCCTGTGAAACCCTCGGCCTTGTCGTATTTGCAAATTCCAGTTCTCGCCCTGAGTGTGTTTGTGAAAGCTCGCAGTTAGTAGTATCTGTCCGTGTAACAAAAGCGGAGATTTCCCACCATTTGTGTTTTTGGCCTGATACTAAAAGTGGCGCCTCGTGGTGTCCTACAGGTCATGTCAGCGCTCTGAGCCTGCTGTCCCAATTGGTAAAGGGAGGGTTGTAGTAGTGCCTCCCTCACAGGGCTGTTGTGGAGCTTAAGTGACAAGAGGTGTGTAAAGCTCCAGGCACAGTTTGACACACAGTAGATGCAGTGGTGAGACCTGCTCCCTTCTCCTTCCCCCACCTTTCCTGTATTTGCAGCTAAGTGTCCTCTCCACCAGGCCTCTCTGTCACCTCTCTGCCCCCAGTCCAGGGCCAGGTTGTGCTGTTAGGGAGTTAGGAAATCAATTCGCAGAGCACTTGCACGTTGGCTAAGCCTCCTCTTTCTTTAAAGCATCCTTTGTCGTTAAGTGTTCTGAGACCAGACTAGACCGGCACATGTGCTCATTTGTCAGTGCTGGTTGAACACTCTGGAAGGTCTCTTAAATGCATGTCAGTGTGCATGTAACGTACATGCTCTCAGAGCACATCTCTATATATAGTATCTTCATTATTTGGGCCTCAAAATCAGAAATTTAGATCAAAAACCATCCTAGAGACAGTTCCTTTACTTCAGTGAGTTTTGTACGTTCCTCTTCTGACCTCCCTCTGGTGTTCACGGGAGGGCCACTTGCATAGACATTACTCAGACTGGCTAGGCAGGACTTGCCCACCCCACTTCACGCTCAGAAAACACATTCAGACCCAGGTGAGTTGCGAGTGATGGGGTGACAGGGAGAACTGCGCCTGCTCCTTCGTGAGGAGAGTACATCTTCCATGATCTTCGGTTCTTTCACTGTGGTTACTTGCGTGACACACTTGACAGCCAATTTTGAGACATCAGTGCATCATGGCAGTCCACTTGAGATGCAGAGGTGTACTCCAGTGCCTTCCGGTACAGACGGGGGAACAGAACCCGTGGATGCTGGAACACTTGTGTCCTGACCTCGTCCTGTCCTTTTTCAGCCTATCACATAATCATGGGGTGGGTTCAGCCTGTCAAGTTTTATAAATCATGAGCAGGAGAACATTGCTAAAAGATTTTTAAAAAAATTATAGGTCATGGGCTTACCTGATATTGATTCTTCTTTATTATCTACTTGTGTGTAATTTGATCCATACAAAGCAGTTCACATCTGTAAGTTGTAAAGGATGGTAATGAGATGAGCACCCTTGCTCTAAGAGTGGGGACTTCATCAGTACTGCTGCCCGTCCCTGCGGCTCCTCCCCGGTGCCAGTGCCCTGCCTTGACCCCATCCCCTCCTCAAACCCAGGTAACTGCTTTTTTGAATCTTGAGTGCTTCCTTCTCTTTTAAAACATGTATAGTTTTATTCTCTAAGTATGCATTCCTAAGCATATATTGTCCACTTTTGTTTGTTTTTGAGCTTTTAAAAAAGTGTATCATGCAATGTGTAATCATCCGGGACTGCTTTCCACTCAGCAGTGTGTTTCTGAGATTCAGCCGTGTTCTTGTGGTTGCAGGTTATCCACTTTTGACTGCTGTGTGTTCAGTACACCAGGGTATGAGTAGCCCACAGCTTATTGGTTGTTCTGGCATTTGAATTGCTTACAGTTTTTTTTTTTTCCTATTACAAACAAGCTACAAGGAACATTGTTACTGTTAAACTGTGCCAGTCTCAAACCCTGTAAGAGTTTCTCTAAGTCAGTATTTTTCAAACTGCGGCCATGGTCGTGGGTCATGGATTCATTTTAATGGATACACCCAGTGTCCCTCTGTGATATACTTTCTGGTTGCGTGGGTCTGTTTCTGGGCGCTTTCTAGTGTTCTGTTGGTCACTTTGTCTGTCCCTTGTCAATTCCGTGGTCTAACTCGTTACTGCTGAGACTTGCTACCTGCTGAGACATGCTACCTGCTGAGACAGATTCTCCTGTGTGCAGTTTAATGCAATAACTAGGGTCTAGATTACTAAGAGTACATTGTCAAATGGCAGTGTTAGTCGAATGAATTATAGGTCATCTGTCATCTCTGGAGAGGGAAATATTTATTGCTGAAATGTGGCAGACGTTGGAAGAGTAGATACTAATCTAGTCTTGGTGTATAGACTTAATGTAACCCCATACCCCAACTTGTTTGAAAGCTTTTTTTTTTTAAGATTTATTTATTTATTTTTGGCTGTGTTGGGTTTTTGTTGCTGCGCGCAGGCTCTCTCTAGTTGTGCCAAGAGGGGGCTACTCTTCCTTGCGGCACGCGGGCTTCTCATTGTGGTGGCTTCTCTTGTTGCGGAGCATGGGCTCCTGGCACGTGGGCTTCAGTAGTTGTGGCTCACGGGCCCTAGAGCTCAGGCTCAGTAGTTGTGGTGCATGGGCTTGGTTGCTCCGCGGCATGTGGGATCTTCCCGGACCAGGTCTCAAACCTGTGTCCCCTGCATTGGCAGGTGGATTCTTAACCACTGCGCCACCAGGGAAGTCCCTGAAAGCTTTTTTTAAAAATTAAACTTTTCATTTTGAGGTAATTGTAGGTTTCCCTCCAGTTGCAGGAAATAATACAGAGAGATCCTGTGTACCCTTTACCCAGTTTCCCCCACTGGTGACCTTTTGTAAAACTATAGTACAGTCTCACAACCCACGTATTGACGTTGACAAAGCACACAAATTGGCTCTGTCACCTCAGGATCCCTCCTGCTGCCCTGATAGAGCCACAGTTCCTGACCTCTATCTAGCACCCACTAATCTGATCTCCATTTCTACAATTTTATCATTTCAATAATGTTATATAAATGGAATCATATAGTATGTAACCTTTGGGGATGACCTTTTTTCACTCAGCATAATTCAAGATTCATCTGAGTTGTGTGTTTATTTGTTCCTTTTTATGGCTGAGAAGTATTCCGTGGCGTGCGTGTTCCATGGTTTGTTTACCCATTCACCCATTGAAGGACTTCTGGGTTCTTTCCAGATTTAGCTGTTAGGAATACAGCTGTTATGCACATTCCTGTACAGATGTTTGTGTGAACATAGGTTTTATTTCTCTGGAAAAACACCCAAGGGTGCAGTTGCTGGGTGATATGGTACTTGTATGTTGAATTCTATGGGAAACTGCTGAAAACAGTTTCCTGAGTTGCTATACCCATTTTATATTCTCATCAGCAATGTATCAGTGATCCAGTTTTTTTGCATGTTCTCTGGCATTTGTTGGTGTCACTGTTTTTCCTTTTGGCTGTTCTCATAGGTGTGTAAGGATAGTTCATTGTGGTGTTAGTTTGTATTTCCCTGACCGTTATTCCTGTGCACTCACTTGCCATCTGTGTCCTCCGGATATACTGGGTTGGCCAAAAAGTTCATTCGAGTTTTTCTGTAACATCTTACGGAAAAACCCAGAAGACCTTTTTGGCCAATCCAGTACATGTTGGTTCATGTCTTTTGCCTACTTTTTATTTTGTTTGGATTGTTTGTTTCTTACTGTTGAGTTTGGAGTTATATCTTTTAGATATTATTAGTCCTTTGCCAGATATGTGGTTTGTAAATTTTTTTTTCCAGTCGGTAGCTTGTCTTTGCATCCTCTTAACAGAGTCTTTTACAGAGCAAAAAGTTTTAATTTTGATGAAGTCCTAACTTTCGGAGTGTTTTTTATCGTGAATGGTTGTTGGATTTTGTCAAATGCATTTTCTGTTATCAATTGATACCATGATTTTTGTTCCTTAGCTTGATATATAGTGGACTACAGTGATTGCTTTTCAAAGATTGAGCTAGCCTTGCATACCTGGAATAACTCCCACTTAGTCATGGTGTATAATTCTTTTTGTACATTGAATTTAGTTTTGTAAGTTTTCCTGTCCACTCTATGCTAGCTGCAGTCCACTTATTTTTATTTGCTGTGTTTGCATTTTCATTCAGTTCTGTGTATTTTAAATTTTCTTTGAGATTTCCTCTTTGACCCATAGATTATTTAGAAGCGTATTGCTTAATTTTCAAGCATTTAGAGATATTCCTACAGTAATTGATTGTTATTATCAGAAAACATACTCTGTATGATTTAAGTTTTTAAAAATTTGTTGAGGTTTGTTTTATGGCCCAGGATGTGGTCTCAGTGAATGTTCCTTGGGCACTTGAGAAAAATGTGTTACTCTGTTATTGTTGGGTAGAGTGTTCTATATATAGCAATTAGATCGTGTTGGTTAATGGTGTTGTTGAGTTCTTTTATATTCTTGCTGATTATCTGGTAATTCTTTTAGTTGCTGAAGTGGGGGATGTTGAAATCCCCAATATAATTGTGGATGTGTCTGTTTCTTCTTTTAGCTCTGTCAGTTTTTGCTTCATCTATTTTGAGGTTCTTTTGTTTGGTGCATGCACTTTTAGGATTGTTTTGTCTTCCAGGTGGGCTGATGCTTTTATCATGATGTAATGTCCCATTTTATCTCTGATAATTTTCTTTGCTCTAAAGTCTACTTGCTGTGATACTAGTATAGTTACTTTTTGCTTCTTTTTGTTTAATATTTGCATGCTATATCTTTCCCCATTCTTTTACTTTGAACCTACCTACATCCTTGAATTTGAAGTGAGTTTCTTGTAATCAGCATAGAGGTGAGTTGTGTTTTTATCCACTCTGCCATTGTCTGTCTTTTAATTAGTATGTTTAGATCATATACTTTGAAGGTAATTATTGATAAGTTAGGTCTAAAGCCTGACATTTTACTATTTTCTGTTTGTTTCCTGTGTTGCTTGTTCTCCTGTTTCTCTTTTCTTGCCTTCGTATGGGTTATTTGAACATTCTTTAGTATTCCAGCTTGATTTATTTATAGTGATTTTTAGAGTATTGCTTTATGTAGTTTCTCAGTGGTTGCTTTGGGTATTTCAGTATATTTGACTTACATGGTATCTATGTTTTATCCCTGAGTGAAGTGTGGAAATCTTCCTGTTTAGGTCCCTTTACCATTCCTCCTTTGAAATGTCATTGTTTTGGGTATCAGATAGCCTGAAAATTTTTATTTCCATTATCATACGATTTAGAAGACTCGTGAAGAGAAGGATCATCTATTGTATTTAGCCATATTTCTGCTCTTTCTTCCTTCCTGATGCTCCAAGATTTCTCTTATCATTTGCATTCTGTTTGAAGAAATTCCTTTAGTTATTCTTTAAGAGTAAGTCTGCTAGTGACAAGTTCTTTTAGTTTTCCTTTGCCTCAGATGTACGGTAGCTTTGGAAGCAATTATCTTAATTTATTACCTTTTAACTTGAAATATAAAGATAAACCTTTTTGTACCTATCACTCAGCTTCATCAGTCTGTTGCCATTCTTGTTTCTCCCGATAGGGATTTTCATTTGTTTGCTTGTTTAGTAAAATAAAAGAGCTGTTACTGATGTACCTGGCACGTGCTACAGCGTGATACTAAATTACCTTTCAGTGGGATAACAAGGGTAGGAGGGAGGCTCAAGAGGGAGGGGATATGGGCACATGTGTATGCGTATGGCTGATTCACTTTGGTGTACAACAGAAACTAACACAGTATTGTGAAGCAATTATACTCCAATAAAGCTCTATTAAAAAACAAACAAACCTCACAAGAACCTTACGAGCTAGAACCTAGTGGTGTATCCCATTTTACAGATGAGGGAATGGAGGCTTAGAAAAGTTAATAACTTGCCTCAGGTCATACATTGTGTTTATTTTTTTGCTTCATTAGAATGTTTTCTGTATTTCAGAGAGAACCCACGTGTGTTCTGACAGGAATTGTAACATATTTGAGAGAGTGTTAAGTTTATTATAAAAAGCTCTTTCTTGTGGATTTTTCTCCCTCTTCCTGAGGGTAAACGTTGCCTTGCTCTTTTCGTGGCTCTCCCACATTGCACATATTTTGTGCTTGTGGCAGACATGTATTGTCACCGATGGTGAAAAAAGCCGAGTTATTTTGATGATGGCATTCTAAATTTCAACTTCTGTTCCTTTTTCTTCTAGCTGTCTATCAACGTCTATGACTACAACTGCCACGTGGACCTGATCCGGCTGCTTCGGTTGGAAGGAGAGCTTACCAAAGTGAGGATGGCCCGCCAGAAGATGAGCGAGATCTTTCCTTTGACCGAAGGTAAGGCTTCCACAGTTGGGCTGCTTTTATAAACACAAAGAATTGAAGAGTGTCCCCTTTTTTTCAGTGCTGAAAGTGGGACATGCTCCTTATAGAAAATTTGGAACATATAAGTATAGTGGAAAGAAGAAAACCCATCATCCAAAGTCAGCGATTTTTAGTTTATCCTCTTCTAGTTTTTGCTAAACATACTTGTGGTCATGCGATACTGACTCATGTTTTGAATCCTAATTTCTTTTTCCTAACTTTATGATAAAATATTTCTATGTAATTAAACTTTTCCCCCGTTCCCTTTCTGTTTCCTCTTTTAGTATTGGTGTATTTAATCCATTCTCAGAAATAGATAACTGTAAATGTATTATAACTAAACTTTCATAAATAATTTTTAATTTAAATGTTTGATACCTTATTTGTTCCACAGTAGTTGGGCATTTAGGTTATTTCTGCTTATTTGAAACATAATTACACTGAGCATCTTTGTAGTTAAATCGCCATGAATATACATAATTGATCTTTTAGGGACAAGTTGGAAAACACAGGTCCTAGATCCAGTTCTGTCCCCTTCTCCCTCCCACAAAGCATAACTGCAGAGCATAGAAGCTGAAATCAGATTGCCTGGCTATATGTCTTTCTAGCTGTGTGACCTTAAACAAATTATATAAACATTCTAAGACTCAGTTTTGGAATTCCCTGGTGGTGCAGTGATTAGGAGTCCGCCTGCCAGTGCAGGGGATGCAGGTTTGAGCCCTGGTCCGGGAGGATCCCACATGCCACAAAGCAACTAAGCCTGTGCGCCACAGCTGCTGAGCCGGCGCTCTAGAGCCCGCGAGCCACAGCTACTGAAGCCTGCGTGCCTAGAGCCTGTGCTCCGCAAGGGGAGAGGCCACCACAGTGAAGGGCCTGCGCGCTGTGGCAAAGCGTGGCCCCTGCTCGCCACCACCAGAGAGGGCCTGCGCTCAGCAACGAAGACCCAGTGCAGCCAAAAATAAATAAATGAATAAACAAATTTATTAAGACTCAGTTTTCCCAGCAGTAAAATGGGGACGACAGTAGTTTCTGCCTTGTACATTGATTGGAAGAGGCATCCTGTGCACAACATTTATTAACACATGCTTGGCATGTTGTAAATGCTTAGATAGATGCCATTGTTATTAATGTCCCCGTCACCTACCTCATAGGTTTTTGACAAAGATTGAATGAGAAAATATATCAGTGCTTTGCAAAATATAAAATGCCCAGCCACTCTAGGGATATTATGACTTTAGTGATTGATCTTCTTTGGAAGCATAAGCCTTCTGTGTGCTTGGTGCAGGTTTTAAGAATTGAATTTCTGTGAACTGGGCCAGGTTGTATAAGGTGGATGAAACGTTCTCGTGCTGATGCCTCACGGTGCAGTCCCTGCTTTCAGCCCACCCTTTGGTGCTGGGGGCGGTAAGGCAGGGGATCCTGGTGTCTTGCAGAGCTCTGGCTGGAGTGGCTGCATGACGAGATCAGCATGGCCCTGGACGGCCTGGACAGAGAGCACGTGTATGACCTCTTCGAGAAAGCGGTGAAAGATTACATCTGTAAGTCCCCTGCGGGCTCTTCTGAGGGTGTCAGGTGGGCTCATCTAGCATCACTCTCTGCTGCCGTGGATTGTAGTGTGAGATGCTGCTACCCAGGAAAGAGCATTCGTCCAGCGATTGGAAAGATTGGAGTTCATTTATTATTATCATTGTTTGTGGTTTTCAATTGAGGCTTTAGGTTTTAAAATACAAGTAGAAGAAATATTTGAAGGAAGGAGGTGAATATACTCACCCCCACCATTTATCTGGCAGGGAGAACTTACCTGGTATTTCCAGGACTAAAGGTTACCTTTATCACATTGATTGGATTTTTAGAAGCTTTGGACAGAAGGCTTTTTTTTTTTTTTCCAGTACTAAAAAACTTAAACTCTTAATTCTGACATTTTTATAGATTTATAGAAAATTGCAAAGATAGTACAGAGAAGTCCTGTGTACTTGCTTGATCCAGTTTCCCCCAATATCTTATGACTAGTACAAACTCAACACCGGGAAATGGACCTTGGTACAATGTGTGTGTATATAGTTCTGTGATACTTTATCCCACCACTGCATCGAGACGCAGAATCTTCCATTACCATGGAGATCCCTTGTCTGCTGGTCTTGACATTTTACCAGTGAAAGTGAAGTGTGGACGCCTTCCCGCCCTTAAAATCCCGTTTGATGGAGGCTTCCCTGGTGGCGCAGTGGTTGAGAGTCCGCCTACCGATGCAGGGGACACGGGTTCGTGCCCCGGTCCGGGAGGATCCCACATGCCGTGGAGCGGCTGGGCCCGTGAGCCATGGCCGCTGAGCCTGCATGTCCGGAGCCTGTGCTCCGCAATGGGAGAGGCCACAGCAGCGAGAGGCCCGCGTACCGCAAAAAAAAAAAAAAAAAAAAAAAATTCCCGTTTGATGGTATAAGTCTCTAAATATTTTTTCTACATACATCGAGGACTATATCACACAATGCTATGGACAGGGTGTTCTTAAAAATTATTTTTAAATGTTTCCCATTTTTAATTAAATATCCTTTTTTCCTATCTGATTTTCCTCACTCCCTCTGTGGGCATTTCCCCTAGTGAGAAGCATAGACCCTCTGTAAACTAGACTAACCCTCACTAAGGGCTTCAGCTCCAAGAGCTAGTTCATTTCCATTTTCATTTTGCAGCCCATATGGCAGCTCTGTACTGGTGAGCAAAAACAGAGTAGCTCACAAACCTTAGCTAAGTTCTTGGAAATGACTTATTTCATTGAAAAAGCAAGCCTAAGGAAAACATACAGTAATTCTCATGTTGGTTTTATCCTTTTAGTATTTTTATTTTACAAGGTTAGTGTATCAGCATCAAAAATTATTTTCAGATCTCTGAAAAGTGACTTGATATGCACAATATGTACAGTAAGAATCGATGCATTCATAAAGAGTTTAATTCATTGGTGTTAATGCTGCAGGAGTGAGTATATAGAAAGTTTAAAAAGTGAAAGAAACAAGGTAACCAGGTCTTTTTTGTTGTGTTTTAGAGATTTAAATCTCTAGTAACAGGATTGGTGCTTTTAATTTTGTTTTTCACTTTGATCAGAAGGCTTAAAAATGAATCAAGATTTAAAAGTTGAAAAATTCTAGGCTTTGCAGTCTTTCTGAAAAGTCACTCAGATTTGTAACTATTTTCATTTAAATCTTTACTGGATTTCTTCAATTTTAACAAATGAGCTCTATAATCAGTCGTATTACATATTACCACTTGGCATGTACTGTTTATGGAGTCAGATCTCAATGGTTATACCTAGTAGGGCCATTAAGGTAGCCTTTCTTTTCAGGCTGCAGTGTTGGTACAGGGAACCTGGGATACTTGTTGGTGATGCTCTTCCCTTTCTCCATGAATGAGTACTTCTTTGGTGGGCTCATTTCTTCTGTTGTTCATCAGAACAAAAGTTTTGATGTTTGGGTATTTCATATCCTGAACTAATAGAACACTTCTCATTTTTAGGTCCTAACATTTGGCTAGAGTACGGCCAGTACTCAGTCGGCGGGATTGGTCAGAAAGGTGGCCTTGAGAAAGTCCGCTCTGTGTTTGAAAGGGCCCTCTCGTCCGTCGGGTTACACATGACCAAGGGACTCGCCATCTGGGAGGCTTATCGGGAGTTCGAAAGTGCCGTCGTGGAAGCTGCCCGGGTGAGTGACCAGTGCTTGCCTTGGCCACCCAGGGCTGTCCTTGTAAGTGGTCTTGGAGAAACATAGTTAACAAAATGGTCTTCGCCCGTCAATTAGTTGGTGGGCAGTAAATAAAATCACGAGTCTTTGTGGAGTAGCAAGAATGTCTTCTTTGACTAAAAAACAGATGACCCTACAAGTTTTTCCTGATATTTAAACATACTACTATTTTAGTTACTGGTTTCAGGTGAGAGTACAAGGATAACGAAGTCATTCCAAAAATAAGATTTTATATGTGTGTGTGTATACATATGTCTGTGTACATATATATGTATATATATGTCATGTCTCATAGTAACTAAGAGATTTGATCCCATCATAATTGTGTTTTTTAGACTAGACTATGATTTATAGAATTTTACAGTCCCCTCCCTAGTGTCTCTTTTCTAGTCTGTGTGTGACCACGAAGTTGTTGTTGGTACACCGTGGAGCCCTCTCCTTAAGTTAGATCACTGTGGTTAAAGTAGCCCAGTCTGTCTTGATTGTGTCCCTGTTGAGAAATGTGCGGTGGTGCTCTCCCCCTACCCGGACTAAGGCGTTGGGACTGAGCCTCTGGCTGACACGTGCGGCTGTCTCGAGTGTCAGGAGTGTCAGTCGTGACCCCACATCGAGTCTGCTCCCACGCTCCCCTCGGTGTTCATGCACTTTCCGACCACTGTACTTGTACTCTTGCCCTCCCTTCATCTGGGAGTCTGTTTTCCTCTCTTGCCAGCTCCAGAGAGCCTGTAGGAGCATCCGCGGTGCCAGCTCCTCCAGGAGCCTTTCCTTGATTCCTTCCCTTCATAATGACAAACTCAGCCTGAAAACCAGCTTGAAGCAAGCCGCCATCCTCTGATACTTGTGATGCTTCGCTTTTGTGATGCTTATGCTGTATCTTGTTGTAGTCATTTGGGTACATTTCTTAGATTCCTTCTCGCTCTCCCCTCATAAACACTTGCTAGGGAGAACATTCATTTTTGAGCCTTGTGCAGCATTTGGCACAATACCTCGTGTATGAGAGGTCCTATGAATTTTTTTAGTGTGAGCTAAAGATGTGCTGAAATATTTTTTGAAGTAGGAAGAACCAGAGTTTGTCATTTACTACAAATTTGCTTCTTTAGCCCATAGCTGGCTTCCTTTCCCCTTTTGACCGGGAACAAACCTTTGATTCACAGCTGGAGAAAGTCCACAGTCTCTTCCGGCGACAGTTGGCGATCCCACTCTACGGTAAGAGAAAGTGACCCATCCACAGCCAGTCCTTCGTCGTTCTTAGAATGCTTTGGAGCAGGTCACATGATTAGGCCTTTCCCAGCATCTCGTGAGGCGAACGTGGCTGGTGTTTGTATTCTCATTGGACAGTATCACTGTGGACAGGGCCCTGGGGAAAAGCATATCTTGAATTGTTCATGCTCAAGTGGGTTGTGAGGGGCAGGGGCAGGACTAGAAGTAGACTTCCTGACCCCTAGTTTCCTGTGTTAAGACATTGTCAGGGAGGCAGAGAGAGGATCTCTGAAAGGAATAGGGAAACTGACTCCCTGTGTTTTCTGGGGGAACTTTATTGAGTAAGAGCTCCATTATGAGCGTTTTCTCTTCAGAAGTAACCGCCATAACAGCGTGGGGCTTATACGTGGGCTAATATCCTCCTCCTGTGGAGGTGAGCTGGTAGTCCAGGAGCGCAGTCGACTGGAAGTGTCCTATCTGAATTTCTTGGGACTTGGGAAGGAGTCTCCTTTTGTGTGAACATATTTTGGCAAGCCAAGCCTTTGAGCTTGGACATGAGCAGCGCTGGGAGGACTTCCGAGCACGGGAAGAATTGGGTGCTGCCATCTTGTTTGTTCCCCAGGTGTGGTGACGCATTGCACACCCTCAGAACCTCTGGCCAACTTTTTTTTTTTTGCGGTACGCGGGCCTCTCACTGCTGTGGCCTCTCCCGTTGCGGAGCACAGGCTCCGGACGAGCAGGCTCAGCAGCCATGGCTCACGGGCCCAGCTGCTCCGCGGCATGTGGGATCTTCCCGGACCGGGGCACAAACCCGTGTCCCCTGCATCGGCAGGCGGACTCTCAACCACTGCGCCACCAGGGAAGCCCCCTCTGGCCAACTTTACTTGAGCCCAGGTGTTATTTCTTTTTACTTCCTGGTTTATTTGGATTGGATTTGACAAATCATGAAGTGGCTGTCCAGTCGAATCCTTGGGTGACAAGCAGAAAAGGCTAGAGCTGAGCTGGCTTCTATGTTTCATCTCACATACCAGTGTGAGGCAGTACAGCTTGGTGAGCAGAGCATGAACTTGAGTCAGACTGCCTGGGTTCAAAGCCTTGTTCTCCTGTTAACTGTGGCCAGTTGATGTAACCCTCTGCTTATGTTTCCTGAACTGCAAAGTGAGAATCATGGTAGAACCTTCCTTGTAGAGTGGTGAAGATCGAATGAGGTAATGGATGTGAAGTGTTAGAACATAGGGAGCAGTAGGTAAGTGTGGTTAGAGCATTGCTATTAGTTTCATTTACTCTGATTGATTAACTAGGTGGTAGGGCTGCCTAGGATGGTGCTTTGAGACAGAGTCTAAGACCAAGTCAGGGCTCAGCAGAAGAGCTCAGGATTCCATCAGTAAGAGCCCTGTGGCCACAGATGTGGGAGGGGCCAGTGGCACCTGAGTCTCAGGGTTTACTCTGTGTTTGAGTTGATAAAACCCAATGGCAAGACCCATGGGCTGAATCCATCTCTCAATAGATATGGAGGCAACGTTTGCAGAGTATGAAGAATGGTCAGAAGACCCCATACCAGAGTCAGTAATTCAGAACTATAACAAAGCACTACAGCAGTTGGAGAAATATAAACCCTATGAAGAAACACTGGTAAGTGTTGGTCTCTTTTACAGTAAACGTCTCTCTACAAACTTTTCCCTAATTGATAGTTGGCAAGTAAAACAGTATCTTTAACATTTGTTTTATTGTGAAATATACTATAGAGTGTATAAATTTGTACATTCAGTTTACATCCTAATAATAAAGTGAACATCCATGTACCCACCACCCAGGTTAAGAAATAGAGCATTGCCAGTACCTTAGAAGTCTCCTATGTGCCCCTCTCCGATTGCCTCCTCTTCCCTCTCCCGAGAGGTAATCACTTTCCTGACTTTTGTGATAATCATTCCCTTGCTTTTCTTTATAGTTTTACAACCTATGAACATATCCTTAATTAATATATGGTTTAATATTGCTTGTTTTTGAACTTTCATATAATGGAATCGTGCTGTATATTTTCTTTCAACATGTTTTTTGGGTTTTACTCATGTTGATAAGTATAGTTTTAGTCCATTTGTTTTCACTGCTGTAAAGTTGTCTGTATGTGAACTATTTATTTATCTGTGTTCTTAGGTGGTTGGGTTGTTTCCAGTGTTTTGCTAGGAGGAGTAGTGCTGCTCTGACCGTTCTTGGACATATCTCTTGGCACACATGAAAAAGAGTTTCATTCCATTACGTCAGAATGGAATTGCTGGGTCCTAGGGTGATGCTGAACTGTTTTCCAGGCTATCAGTTGCTACTCCTGCCTGTAGTATCTGAGAGTTCTCATTGCTCTGCCAACCTGGGGTATTGACATACTTAAATTTTAGGCAATCTCATGGATCTGAAATTATAGTTTTAATTTGCACTTCCCTCATAACTAATGATGTTGAGCATCTTTTCACAATTCACAATTCAGATTTCCTTAAAAAAGTTTTTTTTTGAAGTACCTGTTAAAGTCTTCGGCTCATTTATCTTTTGGTTTTGTCTTTTTTCTAATTGATTTGTAGGAGTCCTGGGTCTTAATCCATACTTTTGGTTGTATGTATTACAGTTTTTCCTCCCAAGTTTGCGACTTGTCTTTTCCTTTTTTTTTTTTTTTTTTTTTTTTTTTTTTGTGGTACGCGGGCCTCTCACTGTTGTGGCCTCTTCCGCTGAGGAGCACAGGCTCCGGACGCGCAGGCTCAGCGGCCATGGCTTACTGGCCCAGCCGCTCCGCGGCATGTGGGATCTTCCCAGACCGGGGCACGAACCCGTGTCCCCTGCATTGGCAGGCGGACTCTCAACCACTGCGCCACCAGGGAAGCCCTGGAGACCAATTCTTAATTTTAATCTAATTGGATTTGTCATTCTTTCCCTTAGGGTTTGTGCTTAATAAATCCCTCCATACTCCGAGGTCACTAATATACTTAGTTGTGTTTTTCTTCTGAAAGTTTATAGTTTTGTCGTTCATCTTTAGGTTTTCTTCTGGAATGGATCTTCGGGTATGGTCTGAGGCAGGGTCCAGTTTCGTTTTTCCATATGGAGAAACAATTGTTCCAGTGCGGACTTTGATAATTCCATCCACCCTCACTCATATGCTGCCCCACGTCTGTCATGGATTAGCTTTCCATTTCTGTGTGGGTCTGTTTCTGGGCTCTCTGTTCTGCCCCACTGGTTTATATTACACTGCCATAATGACAATAGTTTTATAATTAAGTTTCGATCTCTGGTAGCATGAGTCCCATCCGTGTTGTTCTCCTTCAAGAGGGTCCTGGCGTTCTTTAGCTCTTAGTACTTCCATTAAATAGAGAACCAGCTTTTCAAGTTCTACTAAGAAAAAAAATTGATTTTCTTTTTTTTTTCCTACACTGCACCACATGCAGGATCTTAGTTCCCTGACCAGGGATTGAACCCGGGCCCTTGGCAGTGAGAGCATGGAGTTCTAACCACTGGACCGCCAGGGAATTCCCTTGAATTTTTGATTGGAATTGCATTGAATCTGTAGATCAATTTGGGGAAGAATTTATATCTCTTAAATATTGAATCTTCCAATCTGTGAACATGGTATAGACCTCTGCTATTTAAGTCTTGTCTATAAAGTTTTATAAATATATCCAGTGCCTTGAACACATTTTTAGATGTATTTCTAAGTGTTTTTTTGATGCTATTATAAATGGTATCTTTTTAAAGATTCTCTTTTCTAGTTGTTTGTTCCTGGTATATAAAATGCAATTATTTTAGTATTAATTTTTAAATCAAACTTGCTCAATCCTTATTAATAATTTATAGATTGGGGGAGATTTTATGTGTTGACAATACACACACAATATTATTTGTAAATGGCATTTATTCCCCTTTCTTGGTCTTAGAATACTTGTAACTTCATTTACCACCCCTCAGACTTACGCTTTGTTTTCTTGTATTTCTTGTCTTTTAGTTGACCCACAAGGCATCTTATTAATGCTGCATTTTGCAGTTCCAGTTTGTTTACATTTACTGCATGCATTTCCCATTTTCTTTGCTCTTTCTTCTCACGTCGTAGATCTTTCACCTGCAATCACTTTTCTTTTGCTTAAAGTCTGCCCTTTAGCATCTCCTGCACTGGATATTTGCTTGTAACAGATTTTCTCAGTTTTTGTTTGTTTTAAAAGGTCCTTACTTTGCTCTCCTTGAGAGTTAATTTCTCAGGATATAGAATTCTAGGCTGACAGTTCTCTTCTCTCGGCAGTTAAATATATCTTTTTGTCTTCCGGCTTCTGTTGTGCTGCTAAGTCAGCTGTCTAACTCTTGCTTCTTGGAAGGAAATCCTTGTTTGTTCTGTGGCCAATTTTAAGATCTCATTGGTTTGGTTTGATGTCTGGCAATTTCATTGCAGTAGGTCCAGATGTGGATTTTTTTTGTATTTATCCTGCTTGAGGTTTGTTGGGCTTCTTGGCTCTGATTTTGGTATCTTTCACGGCCTGGTGAGTGAGAACACAGGCTCTGAGAGATGGGCTGCCTTAAGTTTGAATTGTATCTCTGGGCTAGTACTTAGCCTCCTTGTGACTCAGTTGCCTCGAATGTAAGATGGGTATAGAAATGATAGCTGCTTCCTACGATTGTTGTAAAGATCAAATTCTTTAAATTTATTTATTTATTTATTTTATTTTTGGCTGTGTTGGGTCTTTGTTGCTGCACACGGCCTTTCTCTAGTGGTGGTGAGCAGGGGCTACTCTTCCTTGCAGTACGTGGGCTTCTCATTGTGGTGGCTTCTCTTGGTGCGGAGCACGGGCTCTAGGTGTGCAGGCTTCAGTAGTTGTGGCTTGCGGGCTCTAGAGCACAGGCTCAGTAGTTGTGGTGCATGGGATTAGTTGCTCCACGGCATGTGGGATCTTCCCAGACCAGGGCTCGAACCCGTGTCCCCTGTATTGGCAGGCGGATTCTTAACCACTGCGCCACCAGGGAAGTCCCAAGATCAAATTCTTAATATTATCTCTTAAACTGGCGAAAGCTTAATCTTCCCTTAGCTTAACCTTCCCTTAGCTTAACCACCTTCACTTAGATTTTGTTTGCAGTATTTCTTGTTTCTTAGCTAGTTTGTTGTTGATTTGCAAGAAGCTTTTTTTTAATATTTAATCTAGTATTTTCAGTGGCACAGTGTGTCTGGGTAACTGATTTTGTCATTATTAGTAGAAACTGAGTCTCTCCAATATCATCTTTCTAAGTTCAGAGCATGCGTGCTCTCTCTCTGGTCTGCATGTGCTCCCTCTCCCTTTTTCACATGTAAATGATTGGTATTTAGTTGCATTTCACAAAGCTTCACTCATGAAATCCTCAGGCAGTTGAATTTTGTTTTGACTGCCAGCAGAGTGTGGCTGAGGAGAAAACAAGTTGAATAAGAGGATTTTGTTTAAAAAGAATTTTAATTGTATGCCTTTGGATCAGTAAACATTGAGCATAGCCTCCTCCATCTCCTGCATGTACCTGTACTCTGGGAGGAGCTGGTATTTGGAGTGACGAACCTGAAATAGCACAGGGCACCGGGTAACTCTGGTGTGGTTGCATTCACCCCACTCAGTAGGCCCAGAAAGTGATTATCTGTTTTGAAAGGATGGTTAGCAGTGGTCGTTGGCAAAGGTGTTTCTCTTTCATTCAGTTCCTGATTGATGGGAGATTTAAATTCCCTGTGGTTTGGGGATGGAGTTTAAAAAGGGTTTACGGAGCCTTTGTAACTATTGCCATGAAGAGGCACTTTGGATTCACTTTCAATTTATAGACCTGATAATGCAGAGGTTCTGAGAGAGGGGATTGGTGATTCTTATCTTGGTGTGGCCGTTCTCACCAAAATTTACTGTGGAGCTGTGTGTGCTTTCTGACAGTGTCACATAGCTCAATCCAATTTCGTTGCCATTCTCCTTTGCCCCAGTTGCAAGCCGAAGCACCCAGGCTGGCTGAATATCAAGCATACATCGATTTTGAGATGAAAATTGGAGACCCCGCCCGCATTCAGTTGATCTTTGAGCGTGCTTTGGTCGAGAACTGCCTTGTCCCAGACTTATGGATCCGTTACAGTCAGTACCTAGTAAGATAACCTACCTGTTCTAATCTCACTTTATTTTTTACCAATTTAGGTTCCATTTAAAGAAAATCAGAAAGAGTGCCAGTAGTTAGCTGCATGCTGCTCCTCTCTGCTTGACTCACTAAGGAAGTCTCCCGGTGTTTTAAGTTATTTTAAACTGATAACTGTAAAAAAAATTTTGCATAGCCTTATTATTGAGGACTTTATAACAGATTAATTTTTCTTTTAACTTCTTACCATGGAAAAATGTAAATACATAAATGTAGACAGATTAGTAAAATGAAACTGCAGTTAACCATCACCCAGCTTCAACACTTAACTAATGGCACTAGTCTAGTTTCATCTACAGTCTTACTAGGTTCCTTACCTATTTTCCTCCCTTCCATGTTATTTTGAAGCAAATCCAGAAATCACATTTTGATGGTAAATATTTCAGCGTGTATGTATAACAGATTTGAATCGGGATCTAAACAAGATTCATACATTAGGATTGGCTGATGTCTCTTAAAGCTCTTTGATCTGTAGGTTCCCCTCTCCACCTCTCTCCTCTTTTCCCACAAAACCCCTTGTGATTTTTTTGTTGAAGAAACCAGTCATATTAAGGAAGTGTCTTTTGTCGGTTGTGCTGGGAATGTCTCATGGATGGTGAAGTCTTAACAATAAAATTTTCTCTCCTGACCCTGGCATTCTTTATCATAGGATCGGCAGCTGAAAGTAAAGGATTTGGTTTTATCTGTACACAGTCGCGCTGTTAGAAACTGCCCGTGGACAGTTGCCCTGTGGAGTCGGTACCTCTTGGCCATGGAAAGACATGGAGTTGATCATCGAGTGATTTCGGGTGCGGATGTTTTTGTGGGAAGACTTCTAAGCTTTTTGTCCCGAGTCAGAAACATTGAGCTGTGACCAAAGTCATTAAATCAGTGTTGCCCAGGCGGTTACTTTGGGATACTGGGTATTAGTGACAAGAAGGGCTCTAAATGGGAGATACGAAGTAGTTGTATTTTTTGCCTTATTAGAACTTTTTAACGTCTTAATATTCATTGTGATTTTCCAGGGAGTCATGGTCTTTTCTCCAACTTACTTGACCTGGAGCACTTTAACGCAGGGCCCCTTGTGGGATGTGCCCTTTCTAGAACACAGTTTGTATACCACTGTAGTAGCCTTTCTTTTGAACATTTCTCTCTAGCTCATTTCACTTTTGTTGCATCCCATTATTACTATTTAAGCCATATGGAATTTTATAGTCAGTAGTAGTTTTTATAATCATCTTGATAACTTCTTTTTGAACTGGCAACAAATCCTGGCTTTTTCTTCGACTCCAGTGACCTTTGAGAAAGCTCTGAGTGCTGGCTTCATTCAGGCCACTGATTATGTGGAGATTTGGCAGGCGTACCTTGATTACCTGAGGAGAAGGGTCGATTTCAAACAAGGTATTGAAGTTTATGTGTTTCCTATCAGAACTGAGTTTTTCCTTAACATGTGTTTTGGTAGGATGTCCCAGTTGCCCAAACATCTCATGGTGGGGCAAGTGATATTGGTAACTTTTTTTTTCTCAGAAATTTTAGCTGTTTGTAACGAATCATGCCGTTTATTGTAAAGGGAGAGAGTAATGGTCCTGACGGTTTACACTGGCTCCTGCCAACGTCTTCAGTCTCATTTCTCCATTCTCTCCCTTCTGTGTGTCCTAAATAGTTATTTACATGGGACTGCTGTGTTCCTTTTAAATCACTGAACCTCCATGGGATCCCCTGCCTTCCTCTCTCCTCCTTCAAAAAACAAACAAAAAAGAGCGACCAGAACCACACGCCCCCACCCCTAATTGGTGCTTGCTTCCTCATGCAGGGGGCTTTTAGCCATTCTGCCGGCTCGGGGATACCCCCTCTGCTGTGGTCCCACACATGGCGCCCTTGTCACCTTTGTCCTCATGCTGTCTGTGATGTGCTGTCTTCCTGTATCTGCCTCCCCGCACTGTGTGATGAGGTCAGGGACTGGCAGTTTTATTTCCGTGTCCCCAGCATGATGCCAGGGAGCTTCAGTGTAGGATTGAAAAGAACAAACAAGACGTGGCATGTGGCTTCCTCGAGCCGAACCTCTCTGCACTTTCTCACAGACTCCAGTAAAGAGCTGGAGGAGCTGCGGTCTGCGTTCGCCCGCGCCTTGGAGTACCTGAAGCAGGAGGTGGAGGAGCGTAAGTGGGCCTCACGCCGCGGCCGCTCGTGCTGCCTCTTCTGCTCCGTGTACCTTTTTAGTCAGAGGCGCTTTGCCTCTCAGTTACTTTCTGATTTCGTCTGCTTCTGTTCTTCAAGGTTTCAGTGAGAGTGGAGATCCAAGCTGCCTGATCATGCAGAACTGGGCTCGGATTGAGGTAAATGTTTTTGACACATTGTCAGTTTCATCCCCCTTTGAGGGACCTTTGTCCGATAGTGTGACCGAAGCTGAGTCGGGATCCCAGGTGACGGTCTAGGCCCTGTAAGGAGTCTTGTTTATTTCCTTGCTCGACACACATTCGTTTCTATCTTAGGGAGAATCCTAGCTCCCAGCTCAGAGTTGCGCAGCAGCTGTCTGAATGCCAGGCACTCACTTGTGTGTTACTTCTTCCCTTCCCGCGCTGTGCCCCATTGATGAGCACGTTCCCAGCATGAGCCGCTTGCCAGGCCTTCACTGTGTGCCGGGGGATGAGATAAACCCTGTCCCTGTGCTAGTAAGGCTTTAATCTAGTGTGGAAGACAGACAATTTCACAAATAATCAGAGGATATAATGAGTTGAATGTTATTGCTGAACCAAGGACCCCAAGGTGAGTAAGACGTGAACCCTGCGCATAATCAGCTCGTAGGACTGTAAAATTCTAACGTTTTGTCCTCTGGGGGAGAGTCAGGTATCAGGTAGTTGGTGGATGGGATGGTTGTGTTGAGACCACGTTAACGATGCAGCAACTGCGGCTCAGAAGTTAAGAGCCGGCATCTGCTCCTCGATCCATCTTTCCTTCTCTGCCTTGCCCTTCAAATAAAACACTTACAGTTAAGCTTGTTAAAAATAAAAAAACGCCTGGCCAGTACTGTCGTGAGTGCCTGTGGGCTCCCAAGTGTGGTTCTCATGGTGCACATGGGCAGACAGCCTGAGGCTTGTCGCTGCAAAAAGGCTGACATGCTTGGGCCGGGCTGTTATTGTGGGGCGTGGCCCGGGAATGTCCAGGAAGTTAAGTAACGCTGATAGTTTTGGGGTGGGAGGTTTTTAGCCATGTGCGTCTGAAGTGTTTTGTAACGAGTGTCACCATCGTAAGGTCTGAGTCCTCTCCTAACTCAGTCTGCTAATGTGTGCAGGCTCGACTGTGCAATAACATGCAGAAAGCCCGGGAGCTCTGGGACAGCATCATGACCAAAGGGAACGCCAAGTATGCCAACATGTGGCTTGAGTATTACAACCTGGAAAGGTAACCGGCCGGGGTTGGGGGTGGTGCTTGTCAGGTGTGACCCGCACGCCCCCTGCCTCTGCAGCCTGGGCCTGCTCCTTGCAGTACACTGCTTCTTTTTACCGTACTGTCTCTCCTCGGTGGCGGGGGTTTATGGGGCAGGGCTATAGAGAACCAAAGATAATATTCTGTGCCTGGGCTCTTAGAGCCATGCATTAGTTTTTTTTGTTTTTTTTTTAACATCTTTATTGGAGTATAATTTATTACTTTCAATTTATTTTGGTTTGTTTTGATTTTTGGACATGAATGTTTTATTTGACTTTCGGGGGAGCTGTTTATTTTTTGTATTTGCTTTGTCTATAAAAGTAGGAAATACTAAAAAGCAGAGAGGAAAAAACCCAAGTTTTTTACAGTGACAGGCCCACATACAACCACCATTAGTTAATGGTTTGGGTATATTCTTTGAGACTTTCCTATGCTTAAATTTTTAAGAAATGATGATGCAGTTATAGTATACATTTTCTAAACCTCTAAAATTATTTTAAATAATGTTTTTAACATGGAGAAGGTATAAAGAATATGACCAGCTTTTAAATTCAGTATATCTTGGACATTGCATGTCTATAAATACATCTTCTTTCTGTTCTGAACATTTTGTTTTTTTACCCCTGATTTAAAAAATAGTATGTGCTCAAGTTAAAATTGAACATTTAAAAAAATGTGAGATAGGGCTTCCCTGGTGGCTCAGTGGTTGAGAGTCCGCCTGCCGATGCAGGGGACACGGGTTCGTGCCCCGGTCCGGGAGGATCCCACATGCCGCAGAGCGGCTGGCCCCGTGAGCCGTGGCCACTGAGCCTGCGCGTCCGGAGCGTATGCTCCGCAGCGGGAGAGGCCACAGCAGTGAGAGGCCCGCGTACCGCAAAAAAAAAAAATAAATAAAATAATTTAAAAATGTGAGATAGAAAGTGAAAGTCTTAAAATCCTTCCCCAGAGAAGATCACTGTTAAAACTTCGTGAATATTCCCGTAGATCAGCGGTTCTCAAATGTTTTGGTCTCAGGACCCCCTTTACACTCTTAAAATTTGAGGACCCCCTCAAAAGCTTTTGTTTATGTGAGGTATATTTATTAATGTTTACCATGTTAGAAAATAAAACCGAGCAATTAAAAAATATTTTTATTCATTTAAAATTCACAATAAATTCATTACATTTAACAGTTTTATGAGAAAGGACTGCTTTCCAAACTCCAAAATAATGCAGTGAGAACGTGGGCTGATTTTATACTTTTGTAAATATCTTTAGTCTGGCTCAGTAGCAGACAGCTCGATTCTCACGTCTGCTTCTGCGTCCCCTCTGTTGTGACGTTCTCATTGAACGTCATTGAAGGAAATTTGGCCTCACACAAATAAGAGGTTAGGAAAGAGAAGGGGGTGTTTTTCAGATAATCGCAGATACTCTTCTTTCACACTACAGCAAAATTTATTAACGAGTCATAGTCATTTGCTTTCTGGAATCTGAAGCCGTATCAATGAATTTTTCACTCTGTTGCATTAATATCCATTGGTCTGTTTTGCACTGAGCAGACCTTTTATCCACGCATGATTCTGTGACATGTGTGGTGTGTGTGGAAAATGCTGACTCATTAGGTCCTGCAGCTCTTCCAAATATTGATGCGTTTCATTATCCCATTTGTTATATCTGCACTGATCTTTGTAGAAAAGCCTTACAAGTAGGAAGCTGTCAGACTCACGGTGACAGATACAAATTTTCCAAAGCTCTAATTTTCACTTGAAAGCTCCAGTCTTATCACCGTCAACAAAAACTCTTAAGTGGTTTTCCTTGAAGTTATAGCCTCACTTCGTTAATTTTTGAAAATGTCTAGCAAATACTCAGGTCTGAATCACCATAGTTTTTGTCACTCAGCTGTTCTCTCAAGTGAAAATGATGTTCCATGAAAAAAAGTAACTAGTCCAGCTTGCAACTCAAACAGTAACCCATTATTTCTTTGCTACAACCATTGTACTTGGGTATAAAGAGGTGCTTTGATGTGTGCATCCCATTTGTCACACAGAATATTAACAAGGTGTGCACTGTCTTGATTTGTGCTAAGAGCCACTGTAGCTTTTGCACTGTCAGTGCAAATGTCAACACAGTGGAAAAAGTCCAATAAATGTTTCAGTATTATTATGAAAGTAGTTTTGACTTTGCAGACCTCCTGAAAGGGTCTTAGAGACCCTCAGTTCAGGGGTCTGAACTGCTGCTCTAAATTTTTTCTGAGTGTCCTAATATGTATTTACAATGTTTATGTATGTTTATAAAAAACTTTAAAACAGAAATGAGAACATAGTATCTCATAACTGCTAGGATGAACAGAATGTTGTTTTAGATATACTGTCCTGATGAGCAGTATATATTTCCATGTCATTGTAGGAAGATCTGACTCTAGGCATGAAATCTGACAGTCCCCTGTGTCAGTGACTCTCCCCTCGAGTGGGACCGTGTCCTAGAATTTCTCTAGGGACTTTATCAAGTCACCCACAGCTCTTGGATTGCCCCATGCGTTGCACGTGTGAATGCAGTAAAGGCGGAACGCCTGGCTGAGGACCACTGTCCCCAGTGTGTTTTCCACTAGCACTGACTTGCTAAGGGAAAGAGTGGCTTAGAAGAAAGCCTTCATTTTTGACTAGAGGGGCTCTCTGGGAAAAGGAGAAAGCATTAAAAGTATCAGTAGCACAAAGAGCGTGGCATCTCAGAAGCGGTGGGCTTTGATGCCATGATGTTAGCTGTGTGAAGACAGCCCTCCCTCTGCGCCTTCTGCTTTGTGTGCTGGTGGCCCCAACTGTGTGTTTTCCGCCTTAGGGCCCACGGTGACACTCAGCACTGCAGGAAGGCTCTGCACCGGGCCGTCCAGTGCACCAGCGACTACCCAGAACACGTCTGTGAGGTGTTGCTCACCATGGAGAGGACAGAAGGTGGGGACCTCGGTGTGCTGCCTCTGGCTTGGGATCTGTCCCTTTTGCCATTTGGTCTCAGGTCTGTAGGCTTAAGGACAGACTGTGTTTACGGCTTCAGCCCCTCAAGGGGCCTCTCTGATGCGACTGTCACGTGGTGCTCGCCAGTGAGAGGGGGGAGTCCTGTAGCCCTCCTCAGACTCCACGTGCCAGGGGGCCCGTGACGATGCTCTAGTGCAGGCCTCTCGAGGCTCTCTTTGGTGGGGGCTGTTGTGTGCGGCATCCTTGGCCTCCCTCTACCCAATAGGTACCCAGTAGCGCTTTTCCTGCCCCCAGTCCTGACCACCAGAATCACCTGCAGGCGTTGCCAAGGGGGTCCCTGGGAATCAGGAGAGACTGTGCTCCAGCACAGCGCCGAGAGGCACACGGCGAAATGCGCTCCCTGGTCACGTGTGCCTCTCTCGTGAATTTCAGAGCCTCAGTGTTCAGTTTCCATGGGCGTTAGTCTGGACTTCGGGGTATGAACCCCTCAGAACTGGAGATAGACACCCAAACAGCAACAACAGTAAGAAAAACACCCCAGCATTTCTCATTTGAGGAGCTCTTAAAATCTTTCGGTCTTAGTACAAATGTCTTGTACCTTTTGCATTAGAATGTTTTCATAATCTTTGCCACAGAGAGCCCATAATAGAACCTATTCTGGTTTTCAAGTCTCTTTTCTAAAAGAGAACGGATGTTCTAAACACACCTGGAAGGACTATTTGAATTCTGAAACTTGAAACCTATACAAATGAAATCTTAAAATGGGGAGCCGATTCTCCAGTTGTTACTGTTTGATGAAGAGCTTTCTTCTGGAGGTGCGGGACAGTAAGAAAATTTTATATTATTATTATATCCTTCAAAATCTGAAGAAGTGAAAGTTTGCTTCTCTTCCTCTCAAGGTACTTTAGAAGATTGGGATATAGCCGTTCAGAAAACCGAAACTCGACTGGCTCGCGTTAATGAGCAGAGAATTAAGGTAACGATGCTCTTTATTTCAAGTCTTTGAACCTCTGAAAACTATTTTGACTGTTTGGTATGAATGTTCCTTGTCAGAACCTTTGGGGTCGTCCTGAGAAATGTCTTTTACTCAAGAGTATTAACTGTGAAATGTTTGAATCAACATTTAAGCCTGTCATCTTTTTAGATCGGCTTAAAACTTTAGTCCCAACGATAGATACAAATCCAAAACAGGAATTTTGGCCCTAAAGGTTATTGGAATAGACGAAGCAGCTAAAAGAGGAGCCTGACATACTTAGCCCAGCGGTTGGAGCATGAACACCCCCAAATAAATCAGGGCCTCAGTTCCATAGATTTTTTTTCTTTCTTTTGGTGAGTCATTCATGGGGCTCTTGTGAGACATACCGTAGACTTGAGATGCGGCTCCCAAGAAGCCTGAAGAGGCTGGGGCTCAGCTGGGGAGGTTGGGAGCAGCCCTCCTCCTCGTCCGCTTCCTGGTCGCCTCCCTTCTCCCAGGTGGTGGCCATCCTCCCTCTCTTCCATCACGAGTCAGTAGACTCCATGTAATCGCCACATACAGTGATGCATCATATCCCGATTTTCCAGGCTGCAGAGAAGGAAGCAGCCCTCGCCCAGCAAGAGGAAGAAAAGGCTGAACAGCGGAAGAGGGCCCGGGCAGAGAAGAAGGCGTTGAAAAAGAAGAAGACGGCCAGAGGCTTGGACAAGAGCAGAGCTGGCGAGGATGAGGAGGAGGAGTGGGGCGACGATGAGGAAGGTGAGGCCTGGTCGGACATCACCTGGGACGTCCCGGAGCTCCGGACAGGGTGCAGAGCAGCACGGAGAACCTTTTTGCATTTGAGAATAAGTTGCTTGCGAGGTGCCCACCACCCTCCCTGTCCCTGCCTGCCCTCTACGTGGGTGCCGGCTTGACTCCAAGGCCCTGTGCCAGGTGCCACCCCGTGTAGACACACCCCTGCCCATACTCCCTGGGCTTCGCTCCCCACCCTGTTGCTGACACCGCCGTCCCCTTCCTGAGTGGGGCCTCCTCTCCCTCCATGGGCTCCCACACCCCACCCTGTCCCGTCACTCCCCGAGCATGGACGCTGCCTTATCCTCAGGCCGCGGCGACCCGCACCGCCGCCGCAGCCGGGCCCTGCAGTGACACCAGCCTTACTTGTCCCCACCTGATGGTTTTGACAGGTAGAATTTTCCAGCCAGTGTTTCTGTCACCCCTGCCATTTCAGGCGTGGGCAGGTGTGGGTCAGATTTGTTTCAGCAAAATCAGTCAAGGTAAAGAATTGGCTCTAGACCCTAAAGGACACTAAACATTTTTCTAGTTCAGAGTTGTCAACCAGAGGGAAATAGTAATGGAGTCATTGTTCAGCTGACCAAGAATTTCTCCCCGAGTCTTTTTGGGGCCTTCAGAAATGACCGTGGGTAGCTCACTGCGCTTTAGGGCTTCTGGTTTAGCAGGGGAAGGCAAACGGGACCTGTGACCGCAGTGACGTGTAATAGGGACTTGGGGAGATGTAGGTGTGAATCATGGTGGAGGCCCGGGAAAGCACTAGGGGGCCTGCAGGAAAGACTTTTTGGGGAAGTGACACTGCACCTTGGCATCTGGAGGAGGAGTGTGAGAAAGAAGGGAAGGGGCCAGCCAGCCAGGGTCATCAAAGCACAGGGCACAAAACAGCCTGGCATTTTCTCTGAGCAGCAAGTGTCTGGCTTTGGGCCCTGATGCATGGCAGAGGGCTGGGTGCTGGGGTGGATGAGGCTGGGGCAGCAGGCAGGCCAGCAGGTCCAGTCAGGGTGCCCTGGTATGCAGCGTGCCACGGTCAGGCTCCATCGGGAAGGCATTGGGAAACTGATGGGAAGGTCTGGAAGCTGGGGGCCCTCACCAGTTGGGTTTCAGTATTGTCCCCCTGGAGGCAGTGGGAAGAGTGGGTTGGAGTATAATGTTAAGTTCTGTTGAAGGACACAAGACAATCGTGAAGGTGGGTAGGAACCGTAGCACCACTTGGTACTGCTTCCAGGGGTGGCCCGGGGAGCACATACTTCAGTGTCACCGGAGGTGCTTGTTTACACGCGGTCCCCAGGCTCTATCCTCCCCTCTCTGCCCTGGGCTGTCTAGGATGGGGGTCCTTGGGATTTGCCAGCCCAACTTGGAGACCCACTGACCTCTCATGATTAAGCGTGGCCGATGAGGACTTAGGTTATCACTTGCACCTGAGTTCGTCCCCTCACACGAATGTAACTGGCGCCCGGAAGGGAATGGGATGAGTCTCGGGCGGGTCAAGAGAGACCTGGCAGAGGGCGGTGGGGGGCGGGGCGTATAGGGGGAAGAGCCCTTTCCCTGCCAGCTGCTCCACTTGCACAGCTCACCGACAGGAAGGGGCAGTTAACTAGTAGTCACTGCTTTTCTCCCGACCTACTGTAGAGCAGCCTTCCAAGCGCAGGAGGGTGGAGAACAGCGTTCCTCCCGCTGGGGAAGCTGAGCCGGGCCCAGAAGCCGACCCGGGCCTCTCTGGGAGCAGTGCCCCTGCGGCCGCAGAGCCTCCCTCTGAGCAGAAGGAGCAGCGGGCGGCCGCCCGAAGGAGGGATGTGCCCAAGGTGCTGCACGACAGCAGCAAGGACGGCGTCACTGTCTTCGTCAGCAACCTGCCTTATGGCCTGCGGGAGCCTGCCGCCACGCTCCGGCCGCTCTTCGAGGCCTGTGGGGATGTGGTCGAGGTCCGCCCCATCTTCAGCAACCGCGGCGACTTCCGGGGCTACTGCTACGTCGAGTTTAAAGAGGAGGCGGTGGCCCTGCGGGCCCTGGAGCTGGATCGGCAGACCGTTGAGGGGCGGCCAATGTTTGTCTCCCCCTGTGTGGACAAGAGCAAAAACCCAGACTTCAAGGTAGGTTTGTGGAATAAAGCATGCCTTGGTAGGGTTGTGGAATAGAGCACGCCTTTACGTAGGGTTGTGGAATAGAGCACGCCTTTATGTAGGGGTGCCGTAGGATGGGGTAAGCGCTCTTCCTGCAGCAACTCATATTTAGAATACACGTGGAACATTGGTTAAGAACGAAACTTTGGCGTTAACCGGCTCAGTTCTGTTCTGGTTCACTGAGGTCTCAACTCGGGGCTGGGTCACTTCGAACCGGCATTACTTGACAGAGGACGGTACAGTTAGGAACTGTGTGATGGCTGCTTGCCGTTGGATGGTTAGGAGTGACGGGACTGTGCCAGGTGTTCTGTATGTTACCTCATTGGGTCGTCACCCAGGCTCTGGGGAAAGTGGCTTCACTTGCCATTTTACAGAGGAGGAAGTGGAAGCTTCGAGAAGTTGATTGACTTGCCCAGGGCGAGTTAACAGTTCCCAGCACCCGGAGCCAGCTCTGGGCTCTGGCTGGGCCAGGCCTGTGGACGAGGCCTGACCCCATGTCGTGGGGAGCTGGGTTGGGCCTCGGGTCATGATTTCCTCTCCCCACTCCTCCCTGTAGGTGTTCAGGTACAGCACTGCCCTGGAGAAACACAAGCTGTTCGTCTCGGGCCTGCCATTCTCTTGCACGAAAGAGGAACTAGAAGAGATCTGCAAGGCCCACGGCACTGTCAAGGACATCCGGCTGGTCACCAACCGGGCCGGCAAACCCAAGGTCAGCGTCTGAGCAGACGGCAGTCGCCTCCCGGAGTCTGGGCGAGCCTCTGTTCAGAGCTTACTTGGTTCTAGAGTGGGTTCTGATCTGTCTACTGGGAAGCAGATGAGAAGTTAACAGAAGGATAGGTGCGCCAGGTTCTTTTTCCATTTGGAGTCAGATGAACCTGTATGTGGCTCATTGTACTAAAAAGAATAGGGTGTTTGAAGAAAGACTACCACGAATTAGCAGGGGCTCCAGTGCAGCTCCCAGGCTGTGGGGCCTTGGGGTGAGGTGCCCCCCTTTGCAGTCTCCTCCCTCCTGCCCGGACCCCTCTTTTCACTAGGTCTCTGGCCATCTCCCCAGGTCCCTGCACTGGCTTCCCCCTTACCACGTCCTCCCCTTCTCCGGTCCCCTCAATCTCTTGTGAAATCCTTGACCACGTTTTGAGTAGTGGTTTAAGAAGAGTTTGGTTGACCTCTCAACCCCCGTCCCGTTTATCCAGGTTAATCGAGAGTTGAAGAATGTGAATAAGGGCGTCCCCAGGCATAGGGACATCGGGGCTCACCTGTGTCCAGGACACCTCATCCATTTGCTAGATTTATGCTGGTCTATTTCTCTCCTTCCTTTCTTTTTTTGGCTGGAGCAAGCACAAGATGCACTGAACTTAAAAAGTTATCTGAAGTTAGTCAGTTGCAGAAATAGGGAGGGAGACTAGGGCTGTGAGACCTGTAGACAAAGGATGGCGGTTGTCGGGGCCGGGGCGGGGGGGAGGGACCCAAGGGTCGGGGGCCCGCCCTGAACTGGCCAGTGGACCTCAGGGAGGAGGTAGTGCCCTGCAACACTCACCTGGCCAGGCTTTTGCAAACTTTCAGGGCCTGGCCTACGTGGAGTACGAAAACGAATCCCAGGCATCTCAGGCCGTCCTGAAGATGGATGGCATGACTATCAAAGAGAACGTCATCAAAGTGGCTATCAGCAACCCGCCTCAGAGGAAGGCTCCGGAGAAGCCAGAGGCAAGGAAAGCCCCGGGGGGCGCCATGGTGCCGCGGCAGATCTACGGAGCGTAAGTGTTGTGTGCTTGTTGGTGCAGACTTCGTCCTGGCCTGCACCACAGTGACCGAGTTTCCCCTCAGCGCAGTGAGTTCAGACAGAAGGTCAGGGCCTGGCATCCCTGGGGCGCTCACGCTCGTTCCCAGGGCAGGGTGTCTGCAGCAAGTGCACGCTGAGGGCCAGTCTGGAAGTGGGACCCTCTGTCACGTTCGCTGGTTTACACTGGTGATTTATTATTTTTATTAAGACAGTGATTATGTTAAAGTCCCCTTTGGCAGGTGAATCCATATGTGTAGGTTCCAAACCTGACAGCCACATGCTTGCCGTGCTAATCTATATCTCCACCTGTAATCCAGATAGAAGCTCTGTTCTCACCCGACAGGGATGAGGCAGCAGGGTGCGAGGTTATTTGGTGAGGTCTGCAAGTTTACAGCCATTTTTATCCACCCTATGTGCGACGCTATTACACAGATGTGGCCCTGGCCAAAATTGTGGAAAAGGCAAAGTTGGTTAAAGTGATTTTTACCTAATAGCCGAAGTCAGGGAGAACAGGGCTCGTCTTATTACCCTTCTTGTTTTTTTTTCACCTTTTACCTTGGGGTGATCTAAGACTGTTCTGGCTTATTTTCATCAGTTGTCGCCTCAGAAGGTCCATGCATTGTTTGCTCTTCCAGGCGGGGGAAGGGGAGGACCCAGCTCTCTTTGCTGCCCCGCGCCCTGCACCGCCCAAGCGCCACCGCAGCCCAGGCTGAGAACGGCCCTGCCCCACCGCCGGCGGCCACCGAGGTACCCAAGATGTCCAATGCCGACTTTGCCAAGTTGCTTCTGAGAAAGTGAGTGGGACTGTGTGAGAAGGGAAATGCCTTACTTGATGCTGGCCGGGAAGACGCCCGGTGCCCAGCTGCGCCCTGGCTGTGCAGGACCCAGTGCAGCGCCCGTGACCACACGCTTGCTCTGGTTTAGGTAGGACGGGAAAAGGGTGTCCAAGGAAAAAAGAGGCTTTAAGTGCTCCCTCATATTGAGGGCGAGAGGACGAAAACGGTCACTCCACAGGCTGGGTGCAGGGTGCAGTTTCCTAAGATGTGTCTTAAAGAGTGAGAAACAGAAGTGAAACGCGAACACACCGTCTTGAGACCCCCTTGTCCAAATATTTTTGGCCACCTCTGGTCCCCTTTTTATAAGACACTTCTCTTACACCCTGCACAGCACATGTGCCCGTCACTCTTTTAATTTTTAAAAGACAAAATGGCAGATGTTAGTAATTCACCAGAATGGCCTATTTTAGTAAAGGGGTGGGGGCAAGGGGCATCACATAAAAAACATCTGATGGGCTTTTGTTCGCTGGGGGCTGTGCGTTTTTATATTACGTATTTGTAAATGACACGTCAACCCACTGTTTTGTTTCCTAAAAGCAAAATACTTGTGACATTTGTATAGGAATTCTGTGCGCCATCTGCTATGGACGTTTTTCTTTGCCTAGTGACTAGTGAACTGTGTTCTTTGTCTAAATACTGAGTTTCAGCCCTTTGGTTTTGTTTAAATAGCATTGTCAAGTGCAAACTTAAATTCTCCCCATTTAGCTTTGTTTATTAAACTGAAGTTCTCTTAAAAACTTCTTGTCAAGAGGTACTCAGATGTGCATTCAAATATATATTTTGAAATGGGTGTACCTTGGTTTACCTAATGGGTGTGTAAATAGAACTTTTGTAAGTCAAATCCGCTTGGCACTTTGATTTAAACCATTTCTGCTGTGATATCTTCAGTTTTAAACTTCAGTTTACAGCAGTTTGCGCTTAACAGCTTTCAAGCTTTTTTACCCACATCTTTTATCCAGTATTTATTGCTTTGAAAGTGACACTGGCAGTTCAAGTAGGGGAAACTGACTTCATAAAAGGCACTCTGGGGAAAAAAATCGGAATTCTTTCCTATGTCATGAAAATCAGCTCATTTATCTGTTTCTAAAGGTTTTATGCATCATTCAGGCTTTCCTATATTTTCTAACTTAACATTTTTAACGGACAATTTGAAACAGATAAGTAGACAAACCAGTAAACTAAGCCCCCATGTGCCTGTCATCAAGCTTCAGCATTGCCCAGCTCGTAGCCCGTCTTCATCTCCACCTCCTGCCCCTCTTGTATCCCCTGTGTTCTGGAGGGATATCCCAGACACCATTAGCGCTCACCTAATAATACTGTAGCACGTATCTCTACGGACTTAAAGGCCGTGGTTTTATCATTTCTAGAAACATTAGCAGTAATACCTTAATGTTATCAAGCATCCAGGCAAATCTCCAATTTCATGTTGTTTTGTAAATAAGTTTTTTATTTGATAGGTTCTCTGTACCTCATCTTTATCTTCTGCACAGAACGTTTGTTAGGTGTTTTTGAATTCAAGCAGTGGCTGTGGAGCAGTCCGAAGAACCTGTGTTCTCTGGGATGGCCGGCCATCCACTTCCCTGCAGAGAGGCCCGTTCTGTGGGTGAGAGGATGTGGGTCAGTCGGGGACCAAGGGGCCGTGGACCTTTCCTTAGCAGTCCAGGTCACGTGGTGGTAAACTGTTTTGTTCTCTTGCTGTTGCCAATCCTCTGACCTCACTTCACCCTCTCAGATGTCCACAGGGGCTTTTACAGAGGTGGACCTTTCAGACTCGAGCAGGACCCGATTTAGGTGCAGGGTGTTGACTGTTCTAGAAATAGATCTTCAGGAACGTAGGAGTGGGTTTATGTAGTCCTGGCCGGGGGGTGGGGGGCTGGGGGGGGGAACTGATGGTAAATAGATACATGAAAAACCATTTCAGCTACTCCTGTTTTAGTGCAAGATCAGCGATACATCCCTGTCAACATAACCAACCAGTTCTGTCTCGGTGTCTTGTTCAGTTTTCTCCCAGAACAATATAAAGAATAGGGCTAAAGTTCTGAAAGAATCCCTCCTTCCGCCTTAGGATTGATGGGAACATCTCTTGAATAAGGTAGGTAGCAAAGTCTCAGGCATTTATGTAACAAAATACTTTATTAGTAATTTGTTAAAATAATACCCTTCACATAGCTAAAGTGCAAATTTCTCCCTCTGTACAAAGCAAGCACTTCTGTCAGGCTTCCTTGGTGTGCTTACAAAGAGCAAGACGATTAGAAGAGTTAAGGTTTAAGAAATACCTTATGGCAGCATACAAATACAAAAATAGTTTCTATCAAGGTTTGAATAACTGTCACTTGGGGCCATTTCATGCATCTTTTCACTTAACTAATCTTTCAGAAAATTACTCCGTGCTCCATTCAGACTAAACAGCAGCAGCCAACTTGGAAACTTGGCTTTAGTTACATGTAACATTTCAAGTTGCTAGGAACGTAAGGCCACGCCAAGGCAATCTGCTCTGCTTCCCTGAGGGGACAGTGGCTGTGGGGCAGGTGAGTGGATTAAAGGGACGCATCCTGGCTGTGGTCAAAAGTGTTTCTCGGCTCCTGTGAACTGGCGCTCTGACTCCTCACAAATGCTTGTTGGGTACTGACTAGGCGTCTGTCTTCAGATGTGTCCTAATGCACATCTGGTCTGAATTGCTGCAAATGTGAGAAACCAATACAAAGAACCCAGGATAGCCACGCCCCTGTTCTTAATTAGAGAAAACAGTCGATGTGGCAAAATAACAGCCTCTGGTACCGGAGTTTGCAAACTATGGCTCAAAGAACCTTCCTTGAAATAAGTGAGTTATCGTAACTAGATATGTTGTAAACGTTCATTTCATATCTCAGAAATTTGCGCTACCGGTAAGGATTAGTCACAACACTAACCTCTTGGTAGGGGAGCCAACACCTGTACAAAAGGAAGCTTTCAGTCACTTCTCACAACTGCGACCGGGTTCTCCTCAGCCGTGCGGACTTCTCTCAGGTAGTCAGCGACCCTCGCGGCCGGTTCCAGAAAGGGCTGCAAGGGGTTACTCCTCCGGACCTCATCCCACAGCTCCCCCACCTCAGTGCAGATTCTGCTCCAGAACCCGTGTTCTGGTCACACAAGGAGCACTGATGTCCCCAAAGCCTGCTGGGGCCACCCCAAGGATTGGGGCCACCAGCACAGACAGCTGACAGCACACATTTACCAGCTCAGAGGAAAATAAATAACTGGGCTCAATCATAAGTTATCTTAGGGACAAGGCTTAAATAACTTAGTTTTCTTCTTTAAAGAAGCATTTGGAGGTAAAGAATAAGTTTCTTACCCATCTCCTTTTGCTCCGGGAGATGACTAAGTTTCTAGAATTGCTGAGTTTCTTGGATTTATCCCCCCCTTTGCCACCAAGGGAGGATTTAGAGCGTTAGGGCTTCACAGGCAGCGTCTCCTTGAACCTAGAGCAGTTGGGTCTGGCCTCTGGCAGTGCCACAGGGTACTCTGTGGTGGCAAAGAGCAGGGTGTCCAGGGTGGTCTCCGTGCACTTGGCAATGAAGCGGATGAACGGCCTCACGTCGCCTTCGTTGGCCACCTCCAGCACGTGGTAGTACTCGGACCTCTGCTCCTTGCGGATGGTGATGGGCGGGTAGCCCGCCTGCATGAGTATGAGGTTCATGAGCAGGCGTGAGGTCCTGCCGTTGCCGTCGATGAAGGGGTGGATGTAGACGAGTTTATAGTGGGCCAGGGCCGCAAACTCCACCGGGTGCAGGTTCATGGCGTCCTCCGAGTTGAGCCACTGTATGAACTCCTGCATCTGCTTCTCCACCTCCTGAGGGTGCGGCGGGACGTGGTGGCCCACCAGGACCTGGGTCATGCGAAAGCGGCCAGCTTCCACGGGATCCACGTACCCCAGCACCCGCCGGTGGACCTGCAGCACGTCGCCGATGCTGACAGAGCCGATGCGGGAGAG